GAGGCAGAGCTCTACGCTGGTACCATGGCTGCTCAAGAGGCCCGTTGGCTCCTTCCTCCTCCAGGAGCTTGGCTACACTCAGTCCACACCCACCCTCAGGTGTGACAACAAGAGCACCATCCACCTCTCTCACGACCCCGTGTATCACACTCGCACCAAACACATCGAATTCCGGCACTTCTTCATCCGTGACCTTGTCCAGCTGGAGCAGTTGAACGTAGAGTACGTTGCATCTGACTGCAACTTGGCTGATCTGTTCACCAAGCCCCTTGGGAAAGTTCCCCACCACCGTCTCCTTGGCGCCATGGGGCTCTGTGCTCCACCTTCTCTGCCTTGAGTTCGATTGACGTCTATGGGGGGGTGTTAGTGTTAGCCCTCAATCCTACTCTTTGTATTTTGTACTTTTTATATCCTAACGTAGTGCAGTTTGCACTTTGTGTTTGGTTGGGTGTACACCTACATCCCAACCAAACCGAATTGTAATCTCCAAGCAATCTCCAACCCACCAATTGGAGATTGTGTTGGGATTACCCCTAATCCCTAGAAATTGCCCGCAATTCCCTTCCCCATCCATCGCTTGCCTATTTTGGATGTACTTAAAGAGCTTCTAGCTCAGTACTAATGCATCGGTTCTAAGCTTAAGTTGTGACAACCTTTTTATACGGGCGAATGGCAATTGGGAGCTATGGATGCTTGTTGGGCAGAGACCACAATGGTGCTCTCACAGCCTCACCTCTTCCGAGGTGGAATAATATTGGACTACTGGCTCAACTCTCCGAGCATGATGGATGTCACATTTGTTGCATTCAGGAGAGCACGAGATGAGCTTGATCAAAAGGCCAAGGTAGGGATAAGCATAAACCGGACCCAAACGGGTTTTGGTCAAACTTTTTCAAACTTTTTTGTTTTTATAAAAACGAACCGAACCGAACCGAACTTGTTTGGTAGAGATGAGCAACCAGCCCGGCCCGGCCCTACCCGACCCGACCTGGTCAGGCCACACGGGCTCCCGGGTCGGGTCGGGTCGCGGCGGGCTTGGGCCAGGGTCCTGAAGGTTCTGGCCCGACCCGGGCCTACACACTCGGATCAACTTGGACCCAGGTACAGGTCGGGTCAGGTCGGGCCAGGATGACCCGCCCATACCCTGGCGTAGGGATGAGCATAAGGCGAACGCGAACATGTTCGCGTTCGTCTTAGTTCGAACAAGGCTTTTCGGCGAACCGAACACAATTTGGTTCGCCAAACAATGTTCTCCAAAAAGGGTGTTCGAAGTTCGCCAAGAGTGGCAAACATTTTGAACGTTTTGGCGAACACGAACACGTTCGCCAAGAACATGTTCGTGGTCGCCTTAGAGGGGTTGGCACTACATTTCTATAGATTTAAGTACTGCCAATGCATCCGTGTCCATCGGATTAGAGTTAAGTATATTTCTGCAAAACGTTCACAGTGTCTATGATTACTAATATGAGCATAAATAATGTGTAGCATAAAACATGTCCACAATCCGAAGTCGACCCAGCATTCACTCAACATGGAAACGTCACCAAGGGGCTGCTCGAGTGCCCACACAACTACATCCCTGTCCCACCCTCGCTGCCAGCACCATCATCCCCTCCACCCGCTGCTGCGTCCACCCCTCTCCCCTCCCCCGCCTCCACCTCCACCTCCTCCGCCGCGCGCCTTCTCCACCTCCACCTCATCCCCCTCCTCCTCCTCCTCCTCCTCGTCCTCCTCCTCCTGCTCCTCCTCCTCCTCCTCCTCCTCCTCCTCCTCCTCCTCCTCCTCCTCCTCCTCCTCCTCCTCCTCCTCCTCCTCCTCCGCACCCTCGCCCTCAATAGCAATCTCCAGTGCTGCGGCCCCCTTCGAGCGGCGGCCCTCGCCGATCCTCTGGCCAGGGTACGATCCATACCACGAGCGGAGAATCATGCAGGCTCGCGCCCTCTCGGAGTTCAGGCGGTGACGCTTCCACGAAATGAGGTTGCGGCCCAATGAGAACACCCGCTCGCTCGCAACAGACGTGGCAGGGATGGCGAGATAGTCCCTCGCCATCCGCTTCAGCGTCTCCATGTTCGTGGAGGTGCGCCAGTAATCTAGCGCTGACACGTCGTACCGCACCCTCTCCGACAAGTACCTGCTGACCTCGTCATCTTGCACAAGACCTCCCCCCCCCGCCGCCTGGCTCGCAGACAGACGCGCCGCAAGGCGTCGGCGACTAGGGAGATATAGGTCATCCTTGTCCTCGCCCCCTTTCTCTCCCTCCTCCTCCTCCTCCTCGACCACCGTGGGAAGTGTGGTGGGCCTAGGAGCCAGTTCCCTCGCCGCTCCCTCTGCGCCGTCTCTGAATGCCGCGTCTCCGAGTGGGGGTCGTCGAACTACGCCGCCTTCATGGAAGGATCCAGGAAGGTGGCGATCCACCCCTCGTTGCTGCTGATGTACTTGTACTTCTTCAGGATTCTGAGCGCCTTCTTGACCAGCGGCTTCAGCAGCGCAGAGGGCCCCTTTGCCGGGCCTCCATGGCGTCGATGAGGCTGTTGTAGTACGGCGTCACCATCGACAGCGTCGGGTACGCCGCCCCCTCGGCTGGCTTGGAGACCTTGATGAAGGGGCTGAGAAATGTTCTCAGCTCCTTCAACATGTCCCACTGCTCGTCAGACAGGCGCATCTTCTCGACCTTTTCCTTGTCCGCCTTCGACAGGCCCTGCACGGGGTAGTGTGTGGTGGGGCGGGGCATATGAGGAGCATGGTTGTTATAAATATGTCTCGCTCAACATGCGACCAATTGCTCAACACACAAATGACATGCCGCACACAAGCCGAACACATGCCACACACATGCCACACACATGCCGCACACATGCCGCACACATGCCGCACACATGCCACATACATGCCACATACATGCCACACCCATGCCACACCCATGTCACACACATGCTGAACACATGCCACATACATGCCGAACACATGCCACACACATGCCGACCACATGCCACACACATGCCACACACATGCCGCACACATGCCGCACACATGCCGCACACATGCCGCATACATGCCACATACATGCCACACCCATGCCACACCCATGTCACACACCTGCCGAACACATGCCACACACATGCCGAACACATGCCACACACATGCCGACCACATGCCACACACATGCCACACACATGTCACACACATGCCGCACACATGCCACACACACCGTGATCCGATCCGATCCCACCCTTAACCTGAGTCGAGGCCAGAATCACTGTGATCGGATTCTGCAGCTCAATGAAGCGGTCGACCATGGCGTGCGTCGAGCCCCATCGGGTAGGGCTGTCCTGCACCAAATTCAAGGCGGGTTTTTTGACACGGGCCTGCAGGTTCAAGCTGCGCTGCAGTCCAAGGAACGCTGCCGAACGCTGGGGCGAGAACCCAACCCAGCTCGCCATGTCCCTGAGCACCTTCAACAGGTTGCGAATGGCACGGAACTTCAATCCTGCCTGCACCGCGTGGTTGACCACATGTGAAATGCACCTGCCGACCACAGCGCCATAGGCATGGGTTTTGGGATGCATTGACACACGGTCTTTGGGTGCTGCTGGGAAATCCAAAAACCCCAGATTCGGCCATACACAGCCACAATGCCGACCCTCACAAGCCCCCCCCAAATCACCACCACACACACCACTCAATGGCGGGTGTTGAAGAAATGTCGACCACCACCCTCCTCCGACAGCCTCCTAAACGCGACAATGTTGGCCGAGGCGTTGTCTGTGGTGAAGCCCAGACAACGCCCCTCCAACCCCCACATCACCACCGTGTCCTCCACGATATGCGCGATCTGCACTGCTCCATGACGACCCGTCAGCTCGCGAAACTCGAGCACTGCCTCGCGTAGCTGGAAAGACTCGTCTATCTAGTGACCCGTGACAACTAGCCACGCCTTCCCATTGGGTGCAGTCCAGATGTCAATGGTGTATGACACCTTGCACCCCAAATCCCCCTCCTTCCCCAGCAGCTCCGCTTTGGCCGCCGACAGAGCGGCCCCAGAAAACGCCACAGTATCGCGTGCCACGATCCAGCGCGACGGTATGAAGTTCTTCTCCCCGCAGTGGTTTTTGCACAGGGTCAGAAGCTCGCAAAACTGGTGGGGTGGGTGAGACGGCACACAAAACGCATGCGTTGGGTTTCGCAGCACAACTCAAGAATGGAATTACCAAGGAGAAGCGTAAGTCACTGCACCCAATTCCCTCCCCTAAACCTGCATACAACACTGGCAAACCACCCACCACCAGCAGTACACGCTTACCGCCTCAGCCTCCACAATTTTGAAAGGTAGGTTGCAGGTCACCACCAGTTTGGCGATCGCCTGACGAAGCTCCACTTCTGACAGCTTCTTCGACATGTAGCTCTTGATCCCAGCGACGCCAGAACCCTCACCCCCTCGCCCCTCTGCCTTCCCTCCCTTCTTTGGGATGTTAGCCAGCTTTCTGCATGCGGCCAATTGTATACGTAGCTGCCTGGCACTCCCACGTAGCCCCCCCTCCGAAAAGGTCTCGCCTGGCAGTTGCAGATGTGGATTGTGGTAACGATGATACCACACATCCATGTGAGCAGTGTGGAAGCTCTCGAAGTGGTGCTCGCCTGGGGTGGTTGTAGATCCTCGCCAAGAAATGCGATACAAATCTTGCACTGCCGCTTGTCATCGGTCCCCTTAGGCCCAAACATCTGTACCTGCCACCCCCGTTTCTTCCGCCCCACCTTGCCACTCCCCATGCTACTCTCGGGCTGTCCTTCCTCGTCAAGGAACTCTGGAGCAATTACACCCTCGCCCAGATCCACCCCTCGGAAGGTGCAAGGATACGCTCGAGTCCTCGCCTTCTCGGCTTTCTTCTTTCGGGTCCCAATTAACGGCCTCTTTCGCCCAACCTTAACACCGCCGCGTACCCATCTTCCCCCCCACGTGCTGAGAGGCCTCCTCTGTGGTAGCCGCGGCCACCCCTCCTCCCTCACCAACCCCCTCCTCCCTCACCAACCCCCTCCTCCACCCCCTCTGGCTCCAACCCTTCCATCGCCTCATCCTCATCTCCTCCCCCGTCCGCACCACCACCGCCATGAGTCTCGGGTGTCCACCCCGGCTCACTATCGTCACCGCTACCCTCCTCGTCCTCCTCCTCCCCCCCATCCTCCCCCTCATTGTCCTCGTCCGCCGCACTGTCGGTCTGAGTGGTGGTGCGCGTCTGCTTAGAAGGACGGGGCCGTGGACCACTGTAACGGAACGAATGACGGGATGACGGCACGGGCATGGCCAGAAGCCCACCGACGAAACACGAGCCAACACCTCCCGGGCCGTTACCTGGTCGAGCCTGCATTGGTCGTGGTGCAGGCGATGGAGCGCCGGCCTGACTACCGCCACGACAACCCCGCCCTGCACTAACTGGTTGGTGGGAGGACATGTCCGCGACCGCCGACGAAACCTAAACCCTAGCTAAAACGGTAATGCGGCAGCGAGGCGTGGGAAGCGGAGTGTCACCATGATCATAAACTTAATGATAGAACCACTTCAACAGTGGTGCAAACCCTAATAGAAGAGACGAATCTTCAACTGTGGAGTAGATGCTACGTTCTTAGTATCGAAGTCACCAAAATGCCTAAACGCCATAGTTATATAAGTCTAGTTTAGGGCCTATGTTACTACTAGCAGGTGTGGGTGAGGTAGGTGGTTGTGGGGTGGGCGGGCTATTGGAAGCGCCATGGTTGACAAGCTAAAAAAAATGAGCCACATTTGTAAGGGCCGCGACCCTAAACTAGGTCGCGACATTTTCGTCGATGAACATTTTAGGTGTTCGTCGACGTGCGTGTCGAACACGAACATTTTGTGTTCGACGCGCCTCGGCAGATCGCGGCCGGCTAACAGCGCACATGTTTGCACGAAAATGTGCGGGCAGCTCCCGACTCAACCGGAATGACCCATTTGCGAGCCGGGCAGGACTTGGCTCGGCTCATGTTGAGCCGACTTGGCTCAGCGGGATAAAGACAAACTCTCCCCAGCTCGTCCCAAGCTGGAAAAGCTCGGACCCTTGCGCATGCCAATGGTTGGGCAAAGCGATGTGGGGCGGAATGGCTGCAAAGTTGGGCCGACCGAGAAGTTTGAGTTCGAGAAACACTACCCTCTTCCCTTGAGGTTTGCTCAACTTCTCATTAACAGCAGCCTGCCCTCCTTTCTTGTATGAATTTCTCCCCACAGCGATTTTGCAAGCAACCAGCTGTCAGGCAGCATCCCTGCCACTGTGACTGCCCTCAGCCTGCTGAAATACCTGTGAGTGTCATGCACATTGTTCAAGGCCCTGCCACATCTGTTGTCCGTTCTGGGCCTACACACTCGGGTCAACTTGGACCCAGGTATAGGTCGGGTCAGGTCGGGCCAGGATGACCCGCCTATACCCTGGCGCCAGCGCCTTTGCCCGCGGCCGCCCTACACCTTACACGCAGCCCCTAAGAACCTTTACAAAATGGTGCAATGTTAGTTGCTGGCGCGCCTATGAGCAACTGCTAGCCTAAAACGAGGCGTGCAGCCTGTCAATCAAAGTGAAGTATCGCTACAAAAACACAAAGTTGTAAAAAAACGCCATTCCTTCCTGCATCGCGATTTTCGTTAACATCAGGATACGATAGTAAACTAGCTATAGATGTCTGTCAATGAGGTTTGAACGGGTTGTAACTAAGTAGTTTCTAAGCTTAGGTGACTTGCTTGCTGCCGTTAGGCAAGATTGAGAGCATGGGTAGGTTCTGATGTCGAGGGTATTAAAAGCCCTTAGACAACAATTTGACCAAGGGGTTCGTCCCCAGTTTGTCAAGATCGGGTCGGGCCAAAAGCTCGACCCGATTTCCGTGGTCACGACCCGAATTCAAGTCGGGTCGAGCCTGACCGGAAACCCGACCCGACTCGGCCCGAGTTCCATGCTCGGGTCGGGTTTTAGGCCGGGTCGGATCGGGTCGGCCCGCACGGGGCAGGCAAGTGAAACCACTGACCCGACTCGGGCCAAACCACGGGGCGGCTCGGGCCGGCCCTGTCGACGGGAGTTGTTGATGGCCCCGTCCTCGCTTGGGCAGAGCCGACCTCGTAGTCGGGTGCACGGGGAGTGCAGCCGATCAGCTGCAGTGGGCGACACCGACCTGCATGAGGCCACTGCCACGTCGTCGACTACGGGGAGCGGACGACCGAATAGACACGATGGTCGACGAGGTGGGGCGCCGTCGTCGACCTGGATAGGGGCGCCGTCGTCGACCTTGATAGGGGCGCCAAGCAGAAGGGTGCCGGGTAGCAGGGCGTCGAGTTGCGGGGGCGCTGAGTTGCAGGCGGTCGACCTGGTAAGGCCGACCTGCTAGCGCCGACTTTGGGGACGCCGGCCTTGCTTAGCCAGCGATCGACAGGTGTGGTTGCCTGGTCGACCGAGTTACCCGGGCGACGAGTACGAAGGTCGCCGGGGGTGGCTTCTGAGAGGCCGACCTCGGAAGTGGTATCCCGAGGTCGACGTGGCTAGTGGGCGCAGTCGTTGGCGTGGACATTGCCAGGTGTCTGCGCTGTGCTCGTGACAGAGCGTCGAGCACCAATCGGCTGCACGCACCTGCGAAGCAGGTGCACCGTTGTCATGCGGGTGCAACGCTGTGCAGCCGACCTGCTGCAGCGTTGGCACGCCATGGATTTGCGACGTTGGCAAGCTGCTACTCTGCAGCGCTGGAGTGGTGCGAGCCTTGCGGCGCTGGATTGCGGTCGATCGTGCTGAGCTGGAGGTCGACCAACAACTTTGCTAGTTCTGATGTAGTCTTGCATGCCAATGTTGTCCTTACCGTTGTTGTCAACTTTTGCTAGTGAAGCTTTTGCACAATCTCCACGTGAATGTGAAGTAGTGAACACCCGAACAAACAACTAAGTGAATGAACGCGGAGTAAGAGTTATCTCCGCATTGTGCGGTGTGCGTGAAGGCCAAGGGAGGCCGCGGGAGGTCGGCTAGACGTCGTCCACGTCGGAACAAGCCGCGCGAAGAGAAGCAGTCGAACAAATCGACCTCGGCGAAGGACGCCGACTCCTCTGCCGGCAAGTTGCGAGACGACAAGGAGGCATCATGCTCGCTGGTCGGCGTCGTGGAGCCGACTGTCTCGCTGGCGCCGGAGGCCGGTGAGGACTTCCAGGCGGTGGCGGCAGCTGTGCAGGCGAACCCGGCATGGTCATGCTCAAGAGTGGCTGCTCGCACCACCTGATGGGGACGAAGGACGCCTTCGTCGACTTGGGGCCGAGCGGCGACGTGAAGCACGTGCGCGGGTTCAACAGAGTGCTGCAGGACGTCGCGGCCAAGGCACTGTCGCCCTGCAAGGCGCAGCCGAGAAGCAGGTGCTCATCTTCGACGTCCTATACGTCCCGGGCGTGCAGACGAACTTGCTCTCGGCCAGCCCGCTGAAGGAGAACGGCTTGAAGCTGCAAGAAGATGGTGACGGGATGCTGCTTGCCTCGGCGGCCGGGGAGGTCCTCGGTCAAGCGTCCTACACAGGCCGGGTCCTCTATACCGACGTACATCCCTGCTCGGCGAGGCCGACGACGCCCACGATGGAAGTAGTGGCCCTGTGGGCGATTGCCTCGGCGACGAGGTCTACGCCGGCTAGGTGGTACGCGAGGCTTGCGCACGTAGGCATCGACACCATCACCAGCTCGGCGAAGCACGAGGTCGCAACCGGCCTGCACATCAAGCCTTCGGCCGGCACCGACTCTCCGTGTCTCTCCTGCGTCGGCGGAAAGTTGGCGCGACCCACCTTCCCCGACAAGGGCTCAGACGCCGAGGACGCTCTCGTTGTTTTGCACATCGACCTGTGCGAGCCGTTCCGGGTGGCTACTACGGATGGCAGCCTGTACTTCCTGCTGCTGAAGGACCGCAAGACCCGCTACGTATGGGTGACGCCGGTCGCCAAGAAGTCCACCGTGCTGCGGGAGTTCGAGAAGTGGCTGGTTGCGGCTGAGCGTCAGACAAAGAAGTAGGTGTTGATGCTTCGCTCTGACCGGGGAGGGAGTTTCTCGGGAAGAAGTTCACCGCCTTTGTGGACGGCAAAGGGATCGTCCATGACTTGACTTGCCCCTAAACCCCGCAGCAGAACAGCATGGACGGGCGGGAGATGCGGACGGTGGTGGAGTCGGTGCGGACGATGCTGCTGCACATGGGCGTTTAGCACCACTGGTGGCACCTCGCTTTGCGAAAGGCCGTTTGGATGCGCAACTGCCTTGAGAGGTCGGCGCTGCCGCCGGGGACAATGCCGTAACAGCTGCTGACGGGGAAAAAGCCCGACTTGTCACTGGCACGGGTGTGGGGCTGCATGGTGCAGTTCCTGGTCCCCGAGCAGCAGCGCGGTGGGAAGCTGAAGCCGAAGGCCAGGTGGGGCAACGCCGGATGGTTCCGTCGCGAGGGGCCGGCATACTGCGATGCTAACCCAGATGCGGACAAGGAGGTGTGGGTTCGCGGCAATGCCGAGTAAGTTACGACGCCTCTAGTGCCTCCCCCAGCCGCTTGTGCCTCTTTATCAGCGTTGCTTGAGTGCAAGGGACACACTGCTCCCACTTGAAATCGTCGACCGCGCCATGTATCCACCATGGGCCCCGATTTCGGGACAAGGTTGCCCACACCATGTTTACGCGCCTCACCTGACCCATTGTTTCGCATATGTTGTGCAGGATGACGGAGCAAGACGCACCTGCAAGCACCCGCCACAGCTTGCAGTTGTTGCGGCCGAAGAATAGATGGCAGGGGGATGTTATAAAATGTGCAGCTTCAAATTTCGGACCTCTTGAGGCTTCAGCCAACTAGTGTAAGCCTCTTGTGTACCAAGTGCAAAAGCTGTTTCAACATGCAGCACGGTAGCATTGTAGAACTTTCATTATTGCTATGTATACATCATGAGAAATACTTGGTTCGGGTTATGAAAGCATCGATTCCTGCAGATTTGGCACTCTAGGCACATCTTTCATCTTTCAGATTTTCCACTCTCCCTTCTCCCCCTTCCACACGTACCGGTAACCACTTCCATTCCCCTTTTTATTCAACCCTCCTCTGTTTCTTGCCCTTCATCTCCCTTCCTCTACCCTCACTCCTGTGGCAGCCCCTTCCGCTCATTCTCGCCTCCTCCTTATCCGGCTTAGCTTTCGAATCAATGTGTCCCAACAATCCACCTGGTCCACATTTACTTCAGCTGCCTCTTCGAGCTGTTCTTGAGTGATGAACACAAGTTCGTATGGATGGCCGCCTGAAGAGAAGGTGTGCTAGCTCAGAAATCACTCCAGCTTTGTACCGGTAGCGCCGTTTGATCAAACCAAATGATGGTCTAGACT